GACTTTTAAGGTTATAGCTTTAAAAGAATGGCAGAGGAGGGTGAAGGAAAACAAGATAATTCGGGCACCTGCTTTTAATCATTATTAGGGCAGCTTGCTATGGGAAAAATGGCCCACTCACAATGGCCTCCATGGACTGTTGCTGTGTTACATTGGGCAAGGACTTTTGAGAAGGGAGGAAGAGTCCGCGACAAGCTAGACACAGTAATAGCAATGTGGAATGGTAATTCCTTATTGTTTGCTTCATGTAAAAATATTTTATATTTGTTTAGTATTTGTTCAAATTGGGTATTTTTTAAATTACAGCAAAGAGAAAGGTTTTTAGCAATGGCTACATATGCAAAATTCCCCTGCCTATCATAGCTACTGCAGACAAATCTGCCTTTATTGTATCTGTTTGCATAAATCATCTGGAAAATGTTCCCAGATGCACCATCAAATAGAAAATTTTAATTACAAGCTAACTTTTGACACCTTTATTCCCCTCCTTTTCTCACCAAGAGTCTCGTCTCAGTTCCCCCAGAAAACTGCCTCTGTTTCCAAAATGTAGAAATTAGAAGAAATAAACATATGTAGCCTTTACACTTTGGGGACTTTTTATCTAGTGTTACCTTTGAATATATTTACACTCCTATATATAAATTTATTTACCACATGTTTGATCTGATTCATTAATTTAAAAAAATGTGTCACAACTAACAACTGGTTTGTAAACAACCATCTTATATGTTTAGATGCTTTCGCTTTTTATCTATTTCCCTTCACCATCACCCAAACCATGGGTGTCTATATACTGTCTCAGGATCAGTGGTGGGTTCCTACCGGTTCAGACCAGTTTTCCCGAACCGGTAGTGCTGCCTTCAAACAGAGAGGGAACCGATTCTCTGTTCCCACCCACCCACCCTGCATTATACATAACTTTATTTCCACTTCTGAAGTCCAGCTGATCCAGGGCGGCAGCTTGAATTGCCGCTCCTCAGCTGCTTTCATTTTTTTCTGAGTAATTTTCATTTAATTGTGCACACGCAAGCAACACGTGTCTGGCGCATGTGCTCAGCGAATCGGTAGTAACGCCAGTAGGAACTCACCACTGTTCAGGATAATACGTTTTGTACAACAGATATAAACCAATAACTGTTTTTTTAAATATAGGTATGTATGTTTGGATGCATGAAAAATTAAAGAATCTCAGTTCACAATAGAAAATATAATTTTTATAGCAAGCTTTAGTCTTCTATATTTTAGAATAGATTTTGCAGATTATATGTACAGAAAAAGATGTCAGTTTGGCTTTGTATTGATCACATCCATATTCAGGAAATCCTAAAGAAAGATTGAACTAAATTTTGCAATTTCCTTCACAGCATATTCCTATCAAAGTTGGGAAGCATCTTATCTTCTTGGGAAGAAAATATTTTTCTTTGTGTAGAAAAAAAACCCCAGTGCTTTAAGGGGGATATATGTAGAGCCCCTGCATTCCATTTTTTTTCTTTTGTACAGTTTTGTTAAACAATTTCTTTTAGTTTTGAGGGATTATTTTCAACCTCAGACAGAAAGGACACATGTATAATGTCCTACCTTCCTGTAGCTTTGAAGTCCTTGAAAATCTACAGTTTGTATGCAGCATGCCAGATTTTAACCATACACTTAGGTGCTTTCTTTTATGCTACAGATCAACACTGTGGGAAAATGTGTGAAGGGGATATTCTTTTGTAAGTACACTGAATTAGTGGGCATTAGTGGAATTGTAAAACCTCAAATATCTACTTTTCCCTGAGCTGTACTATACCATTCCAGACTGCAGAAAAGATTGTTCACACAATGGAAATGTATCTTCCTATAAACCCCCCCCCCCCCGAAAACAAACAGATTTCACAAGGGTACCTAGCATGTCAAGAAGGAAAGCAGGGGAAAAAACCCTTCTCCTGTACAACAATGACAGTGCTAGTTGTCCCTATGAATTTATGTTTATGCTATAATAGCAATATTCAAAAAAACATAATCCCCAACTCAGTTTGAAATTGGATGCTTGGAGTGAGCTAGTGAAAAAGGGGGAAAGGAGCATTATGTATAACTGAAGCATTTCTCTTTCCTTTGCCCATGTAAAGTTTGAATTTAATAAACAACCAAAAATAATCAGGACAACACCCCCCCCCTTAGTTAAGTAATTAAGGAAAGAAAGGAATGAAGGAGGGAAAGGAAAGGAAGGGAAGAAAGAATAAGAAAGACAGACAATGAAGCTCATTCTAAATAATTAAAACATTAGGATAAATATTTGGACTTATGTAAATGGGAATTTTACATCTGATGAACATTTACATTCCTTTTGGCTGATGACCTAGCCTTATACAGCATTTTAAGGATATGTTTCTTCTTTTACTGTCCAATTTATTGTTATAACCTAACGGCAAAGGACCAAAGCAGAAATAAGTAGAGGTGAAAGGACTTGGCCCTGCCACTGTTGTATCTCTGCAGCGTCTACATTGTTTATCTCTCCCTCTCTCGCCTCACCCCCTCTTCTCCTTTGCGCTGTTCCTCCCCTCCTCCTTCAGTATTAGCAATCTGCTTTGGTACTTTGACATCAGGGGTTTCCCTGGTGAATTTTGTCACAGAAAAAAGAGAATCATCAATATCGCAGTTAAACTTGACTTTCAAAGCTAATAGTATCTCATTTGGGGGCTCAAATTTAATAAATTTTCTTTGATTCTGGGTGCATTTTTAAACATCAAACAATGAATTGGCCAGGGTGCAGTAAAATATTTAGATCTATTGACTATGGTTCAGAAGGGTAGAAGGCAAAACACTAGTGGTTTGATGTTGATAAATTCTTAGAACCTTAATCCACATTAACGTTTTCTTTTATCTGGATGCACATTGGCTGCAATGAGAAGACGAAAAGCTAACATATATAGTCTATAACAATTCAAGTGAGATAATGTATTATTATAGATATAGTAAAATGACATTAGACAATATGACTATCTGGACAAAATTATATATACCGCAGAAGGCTCAAGAGATGGTTTTTGTTCTTCTAGACACTCTTCCCTAAACCTAGAATAGTTCAGATAGAAATGTGTGGAGGGCCCACTCCGTTATAAAAATTGCATTATAGTGCATACGTTTGACAGCTACCAATATTGACAGGAATTCTTTATATCAACCAGGGAAATGTAAGATTCCCTATTCCATAGACCAGGGGGCAGAGTACGTAGATCTCCAGCATTTGATTTAACACATCTTTAGGAATTGCGCATGCGCGAGCGCGCACACGCAGACACACACAAACACACATCCAAATTAGTAAAAAAGAATGATAAAAGCAGTGCTTTCTTAAACATCTTCATGACTTGCATCAATTACAAGCAAGGCAGGAGAATGTGGCTGGG